CGTGAATGACCCAAGGGGTGAGTCTATGATGGTGGATTCCCAACATAACATATACTCAGACCCCACATACGGCGGCAACTGACTGCTCACAAATCGCTTATGTCATGAAAGCATGGGCACAATATGCACACACTGTGTGTCTTCCCTATGCAAGTTTCTCATGTGCATTTTTGCCATCAGAAAGGGGCCAGTTAAGAAAAGAGGGGTGTTGTGGTTTTTTTAAGGAAGACTGCCGGTTTTGATATTAGCCATCTTTGTGCAAGACACTGACAGTACACCTGCCATCCTAACTTCCATGGACCTCCCAGCATCCAGCCTTCATTGTCAAAAGAAGAGGACAGACCAGGAGAAGAAATACCATGTTATGCAGCTATATTATAAAAGTTGTTCCTGAGACCCATGAACAACACACGTGCTGCCAAGATGAACAGCACATTTTAGAACAGGGCCAGGGTTTGCACTGTCCCTACTAGCTGGTGGGTGAACAGCAGCTATATAAATCAGAATAGATGTTGGTCTCCATCAGATTCTGCCTGAAGACTTGGGCTGTGGCAGTTTTATTTCTTAGCACCTCTGCCAACTGCCCAAGCAAGCATCCCTAACAGACTGATTTCTCCCTCGAGGAAAATGACTGCATAGCGCAAGAGTTAAAAGAACTCGTTCCCAAGGGGAGGTCGTTTCGGCCTCGCAGGAAATGAGTGCACAAGACACGTGGGATGGAATGAACGCAAAAGGAAAGCAAGAGCCCGTGCCATGTGAAACTCCACAAGCAGCAGCAGCTGTGGAGGCGGTCAGCAAACTCGCGGCCCATGTGACATTTAACAAGAGACAATCAAGTCCTTGCACAGACAAATGCGATCATTTCTGATTCGCTCCACCCCTCCCTAACATCAGTGATCCTCTCTCCTTGCAACGGCCCTGGAGGTTGCACGCACACAAAACCCTCTCCAAGGAAAAGATAACCGGGGGCGTATTTCTTCTATTTCCAGCCGCATTTCTATTTTTGTAGCTCTTTCGTCTGAGTGCACCAAATTCATCATCCCCACAGCGACTTGCTCTTGAAGGCTGCAGTCACCGCGCGCGCACACTCCATTCCTTATCTCCTTCCCAGCCTTCTGTTATCTCACTGCACTAAATCCTCTGGCTATTCCTCCCCACTCCTCTCAATTCCGGCCGATGCGTTTCTCAGTCCCTCATCGATGCCCCGATTACTCCACGTCCTCCTCAGTCCCCTTGCTTGGTTTTCCCTCGCTCTCAGAGAGAGTAGAAATTTGTTCACCGCAAGCTGTCCCAGTCTCTGGTTGCCAAGGAAACTAGAGAATCTCCTGGGGAGCCTAGCCCGTATCCTAGCAACTACCAGGCTAAAAGTACCCCCCTCCTGCATTATTTTTCACACATACACACACAGAATCAGACCAAAAGGGGAAAAAATGCAACAAAAATAATAAAGGAATTTAGCAAGAACAGTGCAGGACTACTGTGTATTTCAGGGGCAGACCGATGGTGTGAACATCTCCCTCGAGAAGTCAAAGCCCCGTGGCCAAAAGATCCGCAGATACAGGCCAATGTCCACTTTGCAAAATAATACATCGTGCAAATTGAAAAGTCATCGCTAAATATGAGCAATGCTTTTTTTTTTTTTGCAAGTCAAACTGAAACAAGTAAAAATACGTGTGTGTAATGGAAGAGACTCTTAAATCTACTCATAATTAGCAGATCAAACACCAGATATCAGGTTCTTTCGTCTGTTTGCTTTAAGAAGAGAAAAATCTTTACCCAAATTACAACCCCACATGCATGGCACCGGTTTGTGCAACGACAGTTACTATGCCAAGGCTGCACACCAAACACATTTACCGCGCTCTCCCCTCCCTGCCCGCTTTGTAAACCCCACCCCAATCCCGCCAGGGTTTTGCAACCACTCCGGTTGTTTGTTTGGGAGGCAGTGCAGCAACCAACCATACAGGCACAAGGAAAATAAGCATTATTAAATAAAGGCTGTTCTACGTGCGTACTGACTCTGTGTGTGTGAGAGAGGGAACGGGAAAGACCGGGCGGCATCGGAAGCTTGCTAATCTCTAGCACCTCCGGATGCTAGAGGAAGGCAAAAGGTTTAGAGCCGTGCAAAAATATATGCAGGTGTGCATGCGCGCGCACAGACATACATACCATACTCGACTCGCAAAAACCCATCCCTCGCGCCTATTTTTCTTTTTTCAGTGCACTATCTTAATTTTTGCAACGCAGGGGCTCGCCCGAAAAGACTTCCAGGCAGGCATCGGGTACTTACACCAACACATCTGAAGGGGCAATTTCCAGCGGGACGGACCGAGGTCTTCGCCTGAGGCATGGTGATCATTGCAAAAAGACCGCCCGGCTAGGGTCCTGCTTTAACTCCGGGACCGGGTCGAGTGCCGGATGCTAAACTCTCTTGCTCAGATGCTCTGACATAACAGTCCATGTCGGCACCAGAGTGGATGTATCTCTTCGCTCTGCATCTGCAGCCATTGCCTCTTCCTCACCAGCATCTTTCTTGGCATTGTGAACCCCGGAAGAGTCCGCTCACACAGTGCCCCCCTCCCCTTCGCAGAATAAGATCGGCCTCTCTCCTCCCAGTCCTAGAGTTGCGCTGCAACTGAGCGGGCTGCACGGTCGGACGCGAGCTGCAGTCCTAGAATAGGACTCGCCCACCACCTATTTTCATTCACAAAAAAAAAAAAATCAGGCGCGCAGCGGCAGGCCCCGCCTTAAATCCCCCCCCCCCGGTGGCGGCCGATTGGCTGTGAGCGAGCAAAGCCAAAGCAGGGGGCCACGCGCCTAGCTAGCTGGGCCTTCTCGGGGAGAAGCCGCCCGAGCAAAGGAAGGGGGCTGCAGGAGGCAGCGCAGGTCGGTCTCTTTATTGAAAACGGCCCGGGGATGGATTTCATGCAGCCTCGTCGGATACTAGTAGCTTCCCCTCATTCGGCAGGAAAAAAGAGCTGCTGCTCCCTTAACCAGATACAGGAAGCGTCTGAAGAAGCCGATAATTTCCCACGGCTGCTGATGAACAATAAGGCCGCAACTAGGAAGTAAGTCCCTTTAAATTCCCTGGGATTTACTTCTGAGTAGACACGTTTAGGATCGGACTAAACCTACAATGTAAAGAACACTTAAATGGGAATAAGCCCTCATTGAAATAAAATGGGACTTACTTCTGAGTAAATATGCATAGAACTGCCCTGTCTCACAGCTACCACTCTGGAATCTTTCATTCCTCTAGAGTTTTCCACTCTTCCTTCCATCCTTTTCCTGTGCAATTAGGACCTAAGTAGGGTATCCCTCCCTCCACTTTACCCCCCCCCCATCTATCCAGCCCACTTGACCCTTACTCCATCCACTCATAACATTTATCATGGTCCTTTTTCTCATTCCTTTCTGGCCCCTCTCCCCCATTTATGCTGAGGAACAGAAGGCCGGCTGCCCCAGGAGAAAAACATGCCCCCCAAACAAGAACACAGCGACATAGGTACCTCAGGCTTAAACCATTAGATTATCATTTCGTAGAGCTGTAGATTTTTGAGGCCAATAAAATTATAGACAGAAGTGCAGCTAAATCATGAAAACTAGATGATGATGCTATAGTGAAAACGAGAGATGATGCAACAGCAGCAAGACATGGGAGGGACTGCTCAGAGCTCAAGCTCAGACCAGTGACCTCCCTTGGAATCACAGGACTGCTTCCCGTGTCCAGTTTTCTAATCCTCTGCAGCTCTTGGAACACTTCAGTCTCACGCATCCCCTTGTATACTCACAGGCACTAATCATCTACTTTGTCCTGTTGTACCCCTGCATCCATTCCTCCCCCCCCCCATTCTTAACCCTTCCATTTTGTGTTCAATCTCTTGTATTAAGTCCTTGCAGAAGTGAGAAGACCTTCTTGGCTTCTATTTCGTTGCCTGCTAAGCCCATAAAAATGGCCCTCAGAGGCACACTCTTCCCTTGCTTCAACTGATGCTTCGAGTTTACTTTGTACCTTGACCTGTTAGGGATCCCACTCTAAGGTGTTCCACAGGATGCCCCAGCAAGCTTTCTATGTCATTGGTCTTAGTGAAGAACAAGCAGTGCACACAGCTAAAGACATTTTCTCCAGCCCTACTGAAATGCCACAACATAACCACTGATCAGACAGATGTCAATTCTCAAGAATTTGTGCATGTGTCTAGGAACCAGTGTTGGTAGAGTTTATACAGAATGTGGGCAATCAATTCTGACTCAGCTGGTCATAGTATTGACATATGAGGCATACAGCTGAATAATTCTTGTCCCTTCTTGTAGCCCTTCTGGGCATTGACAAAACAAGACAGCTACATTTCTGCTTGCAGGAGGCTTGTACTCTAGCAGGGTCAGAGAGAGGCACATAAACACACACTTGAACATAAGAAGCTGCCTTGGTCTATCAAGGTCAGTGTTGTCTACTCCTATTGGCAGCAGCTTTCCAGGGTCTCAGGCAGAGCTCTTTCACATTACCTACTGCCTGGTTCTTTTAACTGGAGATGCCAGGGGCTGTACCTGAGACTTTCTGCACGCAACAAAGTTGCTGGGCTACTGAGACACAGACTATTACCAGGAGTTTTTCTTTCTTTCTCAGAACTCCCCCCACCATCTGCAACACACTTATAAGATTCAGAAACAACATCTAGGGCTCCTTCTCCCAAACCCAACTTATGCATCAAGGACTGACTCAGACAGCTTTGATTTGCTTCCCACCCCCCTTCTCCATCCCAAAGTAGTCTGCAAGCTAAAGATAACTACTGTCATAGATTGGTGTGTCGACCAATCTAACCTGTACACACAAACACATACACCCCACTCAATGTGTTTATATCAGGTGGGCATCCCTACTACGGGGTGGGGGTCTGCTGCACCGTTCCCATTCTACTTTTCTGCCCTCCCTCCCCCCTCTTGCAGCTTGAAACTAAAACCTCAAGTCATCCCTTGTGGCCTGACCAATGAGAAGCCGATCAGCAGCAGCCCAGCTCCCTGACAGCCAAGACCTGCTGCTGTGACCCAGCATATCTCGATCATGTGATGCCTCGTTGTCCTCACTCAAGGCTTCTTTCTCTTCCCCTGCCTCCCTTCTCCCACCATGCATAACCAAAATAAACGTGTTCCTGTCCTTTTTCCACCTTAGGATCAACCCAGCCATGGCCCCTCCGAACAGCTCCAAGGGCCGGCACTGATGCAATGCAGCGTCAGCTCGCGTCAGCAGTCCGGCATCTACCTCACCCTGCACCTTTTAAACAGTCTGGTCACACAAGCATCTCTCTGCTTCCTGAAGGCCTCCATCTCCCGATTCCCAGCCTCTCCCCCCCCCACATTCTCCATCCCCATCCCCAGGCTCCATTCCGCAGCAGCTTTCCTTCTCCATTTCTCACCTAACTCGCAAGACGGGGATCTCTCTCTCCATAGCAGAAGAAACCTTGGTCTACTCGACTGGGGGATCCTTTGGGGGTTTGTTTTGTTTAAAAGCCAGCTCCCTGGCAAGCCCAGGAGGGGACCTTTGAGCTAGCAACGGAGGCTAACGGCTTCATGCACAAAGCTGTTTATTTTCCCTGCATTGGGCTGGAATGAAATCCGCAGGCAGCAGAGACGCAGCTTTTAGCTTCCTTCTTCGAGTGGGTCACGGGGGAAGAAACGCACAAAGGCTTGGCTTGCCAGCCGCATGATTTGGCTTATTTTGTTCTGTCGTAGCAGGTGCTTAATTGTGGCATAAAAAAGTTCCTTGGCAGCTTTAACCATCAGTCTCATTCCTGAATGACCCCCTGCCTTACGCAAGACAAAAGCACAATTGTGGCTTAGGTCAAAACAATTCGAGCTCCATGTTTAACCTACAGAACAGCTGGCTGTTTCCTGTGCCAGCCTTGGCTTTGGCCAGCAGGAAATGCTAACAGAGGCTGGTGTATACATTTGTGGGCAAGGGGGAAATTGTTGTTTCGGGGAGGTGGTGCCGGAGAAGACAGGGCTATTCCATTCAACTCCACAAAGCATAGTGCCATATGCATGTCTGGGGTAGTCCAGTTTGCAGCGATGGGCAACAAATGTGCAGTTGACAAGTAAATAGACCACAGGCTACAGCACAGAATTCTGCAACCAGACTAAATGGAAACTAAGCTGACCTTGGCTGGAAGGGCAGGGTAGAAATTTAATAAATCAAGTCAATCTAAGGACTCAGAGAACACACTGAAGAGGCCATCTCTGATACTCAGCAATTCACTTCCTATCTGGACCAGGAGGAAAACGTCCTGGCTTGCTCTGGTACTTTTATACACGAAGCTGCCTTACAGTGCCATCCTAAGAAGAGTTACTCTAGTCTTAAGTCCATCGAAATGAATGGGCTTAGACTGCAGTGACTCTCCTTAGGATTGCACTGTTATACTGCATCAGACTATTGGTCTATCAAGGTCAGTGTTGTCTACTTGGACTGGCAGTGGTTCTCCAGGGTCTCAGGCAGAGGTATTTCACATCATTTGATCCTTTCAACTGGAGGTGCTGGCAACTGGGATGCTCTGTATCCTATTAGCCATGGTGGCTAAAGGGAACCTCCATATGCAGAGGCAGTAAACCTCTGAATAACAATGCTACCACTGAGGATAACATGGGGAAGAGAAAATGAAGTGAGCCATGTTGGAGGAAGGGCAGAATAAAAATGTACTAGATAGGAATGAAAATGGCTCGCAAACTTCTGTTACTTCTACTAGCCTTAACCCTTCAGAGAAACCACAATCAAATTTTCTCTGAATCTCCAAAACCAAAAGATCCCTGATGGTCCTAGCTCTGCCTTTCACCAGACGTCTGGCAATGAATAACATAACATTTTGTGGCCTCAAGTCTCCATTTTCGGGGAAAAAATGGCTAAATTTGGGTCTTCAGCAAGCTTCCTGGCAGCTGGTTAGTCTTGGCAGTGCTTCACGAATTACAGTGCAAATGGATACATGTTAAGAGCCCTCGTACCTGCTAATACAATAACGTTCCAACTACGTATGTGTCTATTTTTAATCTCCTGTAGGACACAAAAAAGCTTTTAACGGGTACACAGCATGGGCCTGTAATGTATATCCATTAAAAATGTACCACAGGAAGAAACCTTAGAAAATATTATGAAGTCCTTGTGTATGTTACCATGGAGACAGATCTGTTAAAAATATCCAGATGGATGGAGAGGTAAGCAGACGTATATAGCAATGAGATAAGAGACAGACTAGACAAGGGTGGGGGATGTCAGGTTTGCCAGCTAAAACAGGCCTTAAACCCATTTTCTTGTGGCTCTGCTAAATTAATAGGTCCCATCATGCTTTTGGTTCTACCATATGGGGGGGCCTGTCTGAGATGAGGTTGCATGGACCTTGGCTAGTAAAGGGTCCTCCCCCCTAAAATTAGTAAAGAAGACAAGGATCTCTTGAAACTTTGGGGCAGCAAACCTGAGAACACTTTTTTGGGAGTTAAGTCCTATTCCGCTCAGTGGGGCTTCCTTCTCTGTAAACATGCATTAAGACCAGCTGGACTGCTATTCAAAGCATGTTTCCCTGGAAGGAAGTTCCATTGAATTGAATAAACACAGTTATGTTCAA